GAGAGAGAGAGAGAGAGAGAGAGAGAGAGAGAGAGAGAGAGAGAGAGAGAGAGAGAGAGAGAGAGAGAGACCAAAGGGTCCCCTTCACGTCAATTCGAGGGCCCCTGCAGGTACCTCGAATGGCTCCTACACTGCTTCAAACGAGAAGGATGGTCACGACATATGTGGAAGAGGTGGGAGCAGACCACTGATATATGCTGTGGGTTCGAGTTACGGGTCACCAATTCAGCTAGACCCTGTTCGTGTCTCCAGATGATTCTCAGGGCCTCCCTCCACCACTCACCAAATGTATATAACATTAGTAGAATGAATCTTCTGCTAAAACATGGAAGCATACACCGCCATATGCTGTCTTTTGTGCATGTGGTGAGTAGTGGAGTAGGCGCCACTGTACGTATTCATAAGAAAACAAAAACAAAAAAAACAGAGAGCTACAGGCATCTTCATCCTAAGTTCCTAACCATAACTGCCCACATGCAGATCTGAATGCCAATCTTCAGCTATATTGGTGGTCGGCTGGCCGTGCAAAACACCTCTAGTGACTTCTGCGAAGCATTGCGGGGCAGGTCGCTATTGGGCAACTAACCCCTTCTTGCTAATTTTTACCACCACTGTGTGGGATTTGCAGAAGGGAGGGGCAAGGCCAGTTTCCACACCCCACCTAAAAGAAAAGTTGGAATGAGCCCTATTTTCATGATAAGCCATTTTGAAACTTTTGGGGGAAGGGCCTGCGGAAAGCGAAATTCAGCAGCCCTTGCCCAAAAAACATTTTCGGGCCGGGGGCGCGGCCGGTTTCTGAACTTGCGCGGTGAGTTTAACATTTTTGCCAAGATGGGGACCCCAAAGATATTACAAAACCCCGTACCTTTTTTTTTTTTTGGACCTTATGTTTCCAGTGCGCTGCGCTTCGGTGTGCTGTGCGGTGCGGTGCACGACACGTATGCAAATCCGCACACCGAGGTGCACTGCAACTATGGTTATTTAAGAAACCTTTTGGAATCAGGGTAGCCGGTGTTCGGGTCCGGGCAAACTGCCGAACCCGAACGGCAGAATGTTCGGCCCCCCTTGGAGACGCGTTCCGCTGAACCCGAACGACAGAAAAAAGAAGGAAAAAAAACAACTAAAAAAACTCTGAAAAAGGTATGTTATGCAGAAAAATAAACTGAACAACTTTTGCCTCGAGGTCACATCGAAATTCTTTTCCAAAGTTAAAAGAAAAAAAAAAAAAATGAATACATACAGGGTCACCAGCCCGTACATACGGAGGTCCCACGGCCGACCTCCGCACGTATGAAATCAGACTCGCTCTCATTCACACTTCTCATGCATGCAAACAGGTGCGCAGCAAACTGGCGACAAGCGCCCACTCAGAACTCAGAGAAATGGTAACCGAGAACACAGATCAGATACAAGTTCACTTCGATGGCTATGGCGACTCAGCGCCCACACAACTCTCTGTTCGCATACACAGGATCACCCTGGATATCCCACACACGATACTCTGAACACACACACACACATACACTGAACTCTACCTACAGCTATGGCGGCTATGGCCGCTACTACCCTATTGCTATGGCTACACTCCTCTCTCGCCCACTTCTTCCTTGCAGACCACCTCGCACAAGTCGCTTGTGGCAGCGCTTCCGCATGGCTCTCACAGGAATGAATGAATGGCTGGGCGCTGCCTCTTGATTTATACTTCTGCAGCTCGTTGGTCTCGCCCTTTCCCATGCCCGTAGTGCACACAGTCCCATGCGGTACTTGCTTGACTGGACCAGGACTGACTGGGGCTGGGACTGTTGACTCAGCACGGGTAGACTCCACCACTTGCCCACTTGCCTCAGCCTAAATGTGGGCAACTTCAAAAGGCCACTACTCGGACCTTCCGGAAGGCCGTAGACTTGGCCTTTCGATACTGTAGCAGCTACGACCTTGAACTTTTGGGACTCTAGCAGCTACGACCTTGACCCTTCGAGAAGGCTACAGCTACGACTTCTAGACCTGACTGAGACTCCTACTCGACAGGTCTACAGATCGAACCCCTGCTTCCTACGGACCCTACGACAACCTACCAACTGTTACAAATACACAGGTCACGGGTTCAACACTAGGGGTCGACACAGGTACTGCACACAGGTAAGGTGGGGACTAGGGATCGAGCCCAGGGATCTGCATCAGCTACTGCGAAGTGATGAATACCGTTTCACGTACGGCGTTTGGGGTCCTGTTCGGGGTCCTAACCCGAAGGCGTTCGGCCTTTGCCAAAAATTATTTCGGAGCCTAAAAATACGTTTTTGTTTCTGAATTCCTCTTTGTGAGCTCTCTATGATGTGAGGTACATGCCTCTAAATTTTGAAGTCATTTTGCTAAGCCAAAAAACAATTAAAAATCGCCAAAGATAGCGGTGTCAAAAAGTGCTCGCCCACTCAGTATTTTGTTTTTTTTTCAGTTTTTACTTTTTGTTTGCACTTCAGTGCGGGGCCTAAACATCTTTAATATTTTTTGAAACTTTTTAACGAGTTTTGTATTATGTGAAGTACACATATGTAAATTTTCAGGGCATTTGGCTATGCCAAAAAAAAATGAAAAATCGCCAAAGATGGGGGTGGCGAAAACGTCCTTGCTCACTCACTAATTTTAATTCTCTTTTCATTTTTTCTTATTTTTATTAGGGATAATTTGCGAAATACCCGTATAAGTCTAGGTTACCAATGGTCCGGAGGCCGGACGTCTCCCCCGGACATCTCCGTCAGACGTCCGTGGTCCGGGTAGTCCGTGTTTCCGGACAACGGCTTTTTTTTGGGGGGGGGGAAGTCGAAAAGAAAAAAAAAAGTTGTCTTGCGCTGCTTTAGGGGACCCCCCACACCAAATTTGACGTGAAACAGAGTATTTTTGTGAAATAATTAGTACTGGGGGTTTGGGGGGGGGGCGGGGGGTTAGGGGTGTGAGAAAGGACTTACCTTTTTCCTCTGCTGCTGCCTGCTGCATCTGCAGCACCTGCACCATGTGCAGCAGATCCTCAAGGTGCATCACGTTGTGCATGTGAAGCACCTGCTGCGTCTACAGGACCTGCTGCATTCCGAGGTACACACTGATTCCTTGGCACATCGTGAGGGTGCTCAATCATGTGAAGGCCTTTCACATGGGCAAAGAAATAGTACTTGGGAGGGGGGGAGGGTTTGCTGGTTTAGGTAGGTGTAGGTCTGAAAAAGATCATACCTGTTTCCTGCTACTCCACCACCTGGTGCATGTCATCTTTGCACTAACATATAACAAAAGAGATATATGCTGACGTACCTTCTGCCTACAATGCGTACCACCTGCTTCAGGTTATCTCACACAGACACAAAAACAGAGTCATCCACACACACACACACACACAAACCGCCCCCCCAGTGAGTCACACGGAAACACACATGCACA